TACTAAATGTTGATTTATTCAAGATTGTGAGATAATTGAAAAAAAGGTGGTCAAGGTAAATTGGAAGGCAGAAAATAAAAGGAAGGAAATGAAGAAAGGAAAGAAGCAAAGGAGTGAAGGGGGGAGACTTCCCCTTTGCAGTCTGAAGATTTGTTGAAAATAAACTGACAAAAGTCACATTAATAGGAGAAAAAGGCATACAAATTTATTTTATCATGTGTGGGTAAAAAATAAATCACAGTAGAATGATTATCCAAAGCCAAATGAAGTGCACATGCTTATAAACCCTTCTTCACATGGGAAGGGAGATGAGGAAATGTAGAGTAAATAATGTTGGGGGAAATGAATAGGCCCAATGCTCAGACAATGGTTAGTAACTTTGGCTACTAACCAATGGTTTGGAAACTGAATGGGTCTAGGGGAATAGACAGTGGCTCCTGATAAAATAAACTTGTCCATGCGTAGTTGCATTCCCCACTCCCTACAATATGGGTTTACTTAATGAAAACTCAGGGAAGGGACAGAAGGTAATTGTTTTCTTTGTAGGTGTGCCCAGTCCCTCTGCAGATAGGGGAAAAGCCTCTCCTAGCACCTGCTGATCTCCAAGGGCCTTCATTTCAAAATACTTAAGCATGCTAGGGTGCCATATTTTGGGGTGATATTCTGTGGTCTCCTTCAGAAAGAAAAGAGGGACGAAGCTGACATATTGCCCAGAACCAGAGCAGTAGAGGGTAGCCCTTGAGCACAGCCACGGGAATGAGCTAATGCAAATTCAATTCCAGATTCAGATTGTAATAACTATGAATATTGCTAAAGTGACTTATCCTTGTGCAAGTTACTTAGCTTCTCTAAAACTCAGGTTTCTCACTTTTAAAATGGATAACATTGCTATCTCTCTAGATCCTAGGTCAGCTGATTGAAAAAAGTTATGCAAATCTCTTAGCACGAAGGCTAACATGTTATCCACCAAAAAAGGTAGTTACTATTATTTTATTTGTTGACTTGATAGAAGGGAGCTGCCTACAATATGACTCTGATAACACTGATAGTAAAACATGCCAATTCTCTCTATTTCCTTGGGAGCCATCCAGTACATATAGAGGATTTATATCCTTCTTAATAACCTCTGTCATTGAACCGTGGTAATGTTTGGGGTTAAGAGTTGTTATTAACATGCACATAATTAATGAAATGTAAACTAGATTTGTTAGACTGCCCCAGTGAATTAATTTGGATAAAGGCAACATAAGGATAAATAAAAAGGGCATAAAAGAAGAAAAGGATGTCACAATTAGGTCTACTTCATCTGTGTAACACAATGGTTAGGAAAACAGACTCTTGAATCTCACAGAGACCTGTCATTTCCAGCTAGGTCATTGGGGTCAAGTTACTTACCTTTTCTAAGTAAGGATTTCTTCTTCTGTAAAGAAGGTGAGAAAATATAACTACCAAAGGAGTGTTATAGTGTTGTTATTTCAAATATGGACTGAGGAAAAAAGACAGACAGAATTTCTATATGGGATCCCACAGGTTTTGTGCTACATTGTGACCAAGAAGGCCTTAATGTTCCCCTCAGCTTGACTAAACATTAAGTATGTTTCTTCTTGATATTAGGGCCCTGACATCCGTTTTGTCAGAGAATTAACCTTAGACAATTATTTATTTATTTTTTTATTTTTGAGATGGAGTCTTGCTGTGTCACCCAGATTGGAATTCAGTGGCTTGGTCTTGGCTAACTGCAACCTACACCTCCAGAGTAGTTGGGATTACAGGCTCCTGCCACCACGCCCAACTAGTTTTGTATTTTTAGTAGAAATGAGGTTTCATCATGTTGGCCAGGCTGGACTAGAACTCCTGACCTCAAGTGATCTACCTGCCGCAGCCTCCCAAAGTGCAGGGGTTACAGGAGTGAGCCACTGCACCCAGCCTACCTCAGACAATTTTTTATTGTAAATCAGTTCCTGACTTTTTGAGATTTAAATCTTCTGCCAACCTCTTTCCAGTTTTACAATCCAGGCATTTCTTTTTCAAGGATCTGGCAACTATTCCTTTGAAACGTAATCATCAAAGAAGATAGAGCTCCTATCTCCCAGTCTAGGTGGGAGGCTAGGAACTTAACTTCCATAAGCATCAATTAGCAAACACAGTGGACCACATCAGCCTATAGTCCTCTGGTTCTTTTTCATTAGTTCATCCCAGTGCTTAAAAACTCTCCTGCCTTTTGTTTCATTGGGATTAAGTTCAATCTCTCTTCCCTGCTGCAGTTGTCTTGAATAAAGTCTTCTTGTTTAACTCTATCCAGTGCAATTTTTCTTTTACACTTATAGTCTCTTCAAACCAAAGACCCTCAGAACTTTTCTATACTTAATCTTGATTCTTTAGGCCCAGTTGTAAACTAAAGTGAGAGAGTAGATTTAACATTAAGGTTTAGGCTGGGGGCAGTAGCTTACACCTGTAATACCACCAGTTTGGGAGGCAAAGGCAGGCAGATCATTGAGCTCAAGAGTTTGAGGCCAGCCTGGGCAACATAGCAAGACCCTGTCTCTATGAAAAGTTCAAAAATTAGCTGGTTGTGGTGGCATGTGCCTATAGTCCCAACTACTTGAGAGGCTGAAGTGGGAGAATCACTTGAGCCTGGAAGGTGGAGGTTGCAGTCAGCTGAGATCATGCCACTACAATCCGGCCTGGGTGACAGAGCAAGACCCCATCTCAAAAATAAAATAATAATAATAATAAATAAATTTTAAAAAGAGAAAGAAATTAAGGTTTAGATGCTATCCATTTCTCATGCCTTAAATAGGCATCTGAAAATCATGTTAACTCCATAGTAGCTAGAAGTTACCTGTAGTCCATCATTTATCTATAAATATTAAACTGTGAGATTTGCCAAATTTAAATTGGAAGAAAACTAGAATAGGAGGCATAACCTTCATGTACTGTCTATCTTCTTATTCTTTGTAGGAGAAATGCCAAGTTCTCAACTCATTTTATTAATATGCATTGAAAATGGTAGAAATATCAGGCTAAATAATGAAATATGCATGTCAAAACATTAACCCTTTTTAATTTTTCATTGACTAGCATTTCATATGTTAAATAAAGCTAATCAGGTGCTCTAAAATTAAAGAAATCTTATTTATTACAATTAACCCAACATTAAGAAATTTTAACCTAATATACTTCGTGTCCTTTTGTAAAATTGTAGTAACTAGCAGAAAAGTTTAAGCTTCTCTACGTATTCTTACATTAATTTAACTAATATTTCCAGTTCTCAATTATCACATTGGTAGAAGAAGAAAATGTGAAATATTCTTACATATTCTGTCCCCAGAATTTGTTTCTGCTATAACCTCTGTGACATAACACCCATGCCTCCCTCAAAAAAAAAAAAAAAAATACAACCGTTGATAGGATAGTTTGAACATTGTTATAATTTCCAAGAAAATTTAATACTAGATTCAGCACTTTGATCAAGGTCTCTTTACTAAATAAAAAGATATTTTTTAATTTATTTATTCTTGTTTTCAGTCACTAAGTATTTAGATTTAGCTAACATTTATTATATATTAGGTACTAAGTGACATGTCAAAGAGTCATATTTTCACTTGTGGCTCTGATGCAGCAGCTCGTGGCAGACCAATACTTCAGTCAATACATTTAGAAAAGCTGGATAAAATGTTTAAAAATCAAATTGAAAAGACCATATTGCTGCTAAGGCAAATGAGGAAGCAGAAAATCAAAAACAAAGGATAAGACGACATTTTCCCCTCAGAGAATCTGCCAGGTTATGGTCTTGGGAAAGTGGGAATCTGAAAAACAGGACAAAGGACCATAACCAAAACAGATAAGCTGAGCAGGTTTTGGTAATTGAATGGGGCTGGCGAATAATTTTTGTTTAGGACACAACAAGTAAGACTTGGGGACAATGGTCTCAGAGTTTTCAGAGATTGGGAGAAGGGAACACTTTGGATATTTTCTTTTGAGAAATATCCTAATTCCTTAAGGTGAACATGGAAAGAGGCTAAGAAGCAAAACAGAAAGCTGCTGCCAGGGAGAGAAGAGTTTTCAGCATACACAAGTATCTGATCAAACAATAACTGGAGTTAGGTCTCCAGCTAGAGACTCTGCAGAGCTATGTCTTAGGAGTGGAGGTAAATTGAAGAGCATCTGAGCCTTATGACCACAATAAACCAACCGTAAATCTGATTGGTCTTGATTGCATTAAGGTAATCTGTTTCATACTCCAGCTGCCTCCTACAGGAAGATGAATCATTGGTGGTAGAAGAGAATATGGCCCTGAGATAACAATTATATATGTATAATTTCTGACGTTCAGGCAAAATTTACCGGGTACAGTAAGATACATGAAAGGGGAGGGAAAAGACAACAGAAACTCCTGTGGACAAAATTGGGACCTCCTGCCAATCCCCCTCCCCGGATTTATACGTTGACAATCTAACCCCTAATATGACTACTTTTTGGAGACAGGGCCTGTAAGTCATAAAGGTGAAGTCTTGATCCTATTAGATTAAGTGCCCTTATAAGAAGAGACATCAGAGAACTTTTTTCTTTCTCCCCCACTCGCACACAAAGTTGAGGTCATATGAGTATACGGTAAAAATATGGCCATCTACAAACCAGGAAGAGAGCCCTTACCAGGAACCAAATCAGTGGGTACCTTGATCTTGGACTTCCCAGTTTCCAAATCTGTGAGTAACCAATTTCTGTTGTTTAAGCCAACAGTCCCCAACTTTTTTGGCACCAGGGACCAGTTTTGTGGAAGACAATTTTTTCATGAAGGGGACTGTGGAGGATGGTTTTGGGATGAAACTGTTCCACCTCAGATCATCAGGCATTAGATTCTCATAAGGAAAATGCAGCCTAGATCCCTTGCAAGTACAGTTAGCAATAGGGTTTGTGCTCCTATGAGAATCTAATGCCACTGCTGATCTGACAGGAGGCGTAGCTCAGGCTGTAATGCTCACTTGCCCACCACTCACCTCCTGCTGCGTGGCCTGCCTGATTCCTAACAGGCCACTGACCCATACCGATCCATGGCCGGGGTTTGAGGACTCATGGTTTAGGTCACCCAGCCTGTGACATCTTGTTGTAGAAGCCTGAACAGACTATTACAGAAACAATCCATGTTGGCCCATGGGAAAACTTTCCCTTTTGCCTTCTGAAGGTTTGCTGAAAATCAAACTGAAAAAAAAAGGAAGATTGATAGGAGAAAAAACATACAAAGTTATTAATGTACCTGGGGGAGAAACACAGAGTGATTACCATGCAATGGGATACAAATGGTTACATGTTCTCCTTCTTAGGGAAAAGTGAAATGGAGAAGTGTGGGTAATTTTAGGGGGGTAGTAAATGATTGTTAGGGTAATTCAGTGAGCTTAAAGAACATACAATGGCCCGGAATGAAGTCTTTTGGGCTCACAGAAGAGACAGTGGTTAGTGACAAAAGTGCGCCCAGGTATGTTGCCAGACTTCAGTCTTTCGTCCTGTGGTAAGAGTTCAGTTAATGAAAATTTAGGGAAGTGACCAGAGGTAATTATTTTCTTTTGACAGGTCCAGACTTTAGGTAGATAAGGAGACTTCAGAGAACAACTTCATTCTATGCTTTGGGAGAGACAGAAGCACCATATTTTGGGGTGTTGGCCACATCTACATATAATGCAGCAACATTGTTAATGCACAGCTTAGTATTTGACAGCAGAGTACAGGAGATCATTGCTCACATTTTTGGAGTTCTTTATGTGGCAGTCTCCTCTCTGATATTACATTCCACAATTTTCAGCTGCTTTAGTCTAACCAAACTCTGCTATCAGGCTCTCACTGAATGTAACCACCTTATTCTCCTTCAGTTCCCCTCCTTGCACTGAAGTCTGGAAATTGCCACCATGAAGAAAGCTGGACATTCAATAGGGACAATCTAATTTGTTTCCCTTTTATGAGGAATCACAGCCCAACACTACTTGTCTCAATAGCTAAAAACAGTCGTTTCATATATTTTGACCAGCTTTTAATTTGTTTACTGTGGATACACAACTTCTGTATCAGATACTTAGGATTAGAAGGTTAATCCTTCCTATTCATGTTAAAAACTGTTATTAAACCAGAAATCGTAGTCTAAAAAAATCTGATAAAGCATATCTGCAAAAATTCCCCAGCAAAAGTCACATTAGCAATAAAATAATGAATGACAGAGATTGAGAAAGAGAGCAGGACAAGGATTCCAGCTATAATTGCTTCAATTTATTATCATTTGGAGTTTTTTGCAAGTTCAATAAGGCAAGTAAAAGAAATAAAATAAAAACAATTCTAAGGAAAGAGGTGCAAAACATCAACATGGAAAACTACAAGATAATTATGACAAAAATGTAAGAAGACCTAAATAAATGAAGGGATATACTATTTCCATAAATTAGAAAACTCACAATTTTAACAATGCCAAATGTTGCTAAGTTAATCTGTAATAAATAGTTCCATGTACTTATAACAATTATATTCTTTTCAATGTATTGACAAGAATGGTAGAGAAAATTAAGAGATAAAAAAATGGAAGATTTATCCTATCAGACATTCAGATTTATTATAAAGCTATAGTTACTGAAACAGTGTGATGTTTGGCATAAAAACAGGCAAAGAAAATAATTAAACAGAATGGAAAGTTCCAAAATAGATCCACATATATACAGTCATCTGTGATGCAAGTGGAGAATTTTTTTCTTTTTACTTTGCAAAGCAGAGTATCTGGACTTACATGCACAGTATTACCACAAATTCTACACTCAGATATATACTCAGTGGAAATGTATCTAATGGGCTCCCAAAACACTTGTATAAGAATGATTATAGCAACATTATTCATAATAGTGAAAAACTGGAAGCATACCAAATGTTTATCAATAAACATAAAAGTTATGTTTTAATAAAATAAATGTATGGATAAAAATTATGGTACATTCACACAAAATACTATATTCTTGAAAGAGAACAAACTAAATTCATATGAACAACATGAATACAGCTCATAAACACAAGAAGCCAAACACAAAAGAATTCATAACAAATGATAACACATACAGTTCAAGAACAGGCAATACTAATATATGATGATGGAAATCAAAGGAGTGGTTACCTTTCACAGGGGATGGTCACTGGGAAGAAACATTAGAAAGGATTCTTGATATACTGGTTTTGTTCTATATCTTCATTTAAGTGGGAGTTATATAACAGTGTTCATGTGCCTAAATATCCATCAAATTCTATATTTGTGATTTTTATAGTTTCTGTATATATATATTACAATACATATATTACATTACCTCTGTGTGTTTTACACTGCAACAAAATTCATAAAAGCACAGACAGTATCCCAAATATAGTAGAGTAGGAAAGACTTGTACTTAGAAACCTATAATATTCAGCAGCATTCATAAGTTGTTAGGAAATCACAAGTTACTGTTTCATAGTTCAGAGTGGGAGAATATTGTTTCCACTTTGGTGGAAGTAGATTAAATTGAGGAGTGAAGAAACGTTTTCTGGAAGAGATAAAATTTGAGATGGAACTGAAAAGAGAAACAAGTGATTGCTAGGCAGAAATGAGGAGTGGTCAGTCATTTCAGCAAAATAATTAGTATCCCCTCCCCAAAGTTGGTTAGCTATGTAACAAAAAGTGACAGCCATTTGTTTGGATTATAATCAATAACATGAAATTAGATTGAAAAGAAATATTAAGTGTAGATTTTGAATGATTTCAAATAATGGAGTAACAAATTTGGATTTCAGTGGGCTCTAGGGAGCAGGCTTTAACATACATAAACAAGAAACAAAGGCATGATCAAAATTATGATCTGGAAAAATAAATTGACCTCAAGATTACAGGAAAGAGAAGGAAATTTATGTAGCAAGAAAACATAAATGAGTATTACGAAAATTTTATTCATTTTCATCTGGCAGATATAAAAGGTCTACTGACTAGCTCTGGTAAAAATTAGTGAGCAACTAATTTAGATCACTTGAGTGAGAGGGTGACAAGTAACATACATGACATCTTGATTAAAGAACAGTTTGAAAAATTATTTATGGAGTACTACTAATGAAAAGGTATGAAAGTGCATAAGTTAAGAACACGTTCAGCTGCCATAAACCAAAACCCCAACTAATACTTTTCAAAATATATGGCAATTTATCTTTTTCACATAGTAAGAAGACCATAGCAGATATTGCTAGTGCTGGTTCAGCTTCGTAAAAATGACATGACATCAGAATTTTGTTTTCAGCTTTATTGAGGTATAATTGACAAATAAAAATTGCATATATTCAAGGTGTACAACATGATTTTTTCATATACATATTCGTTGTGAAATGTTATCCATAATCAAGCTAATTAACATATCTGTCACATCACATAATTTTCTTTTATGCATATGTGATAAGAATACTTAAAATCTACTCTCTTGACAAATTTCGAGTATACAATATATTATTATTAACTATTGTCACCTTACTGTACATTAGCTCCCCAGAACTTAACTCCTCTTATAACTGGAAGTTTATAACGTTTGACATCTCCCCATTTCCTCCACCCACTGACATCTGGGATCTTGAACTTTTCTGCAACATTCTGAGGTTGTTGGCTTCCATCTTCTTGGGTAACGTCTTGCAATAACAAAATATATGTCATATCTTTGACATGGCCTCTTAATCAATGAAGGTAGGGGGAAAGGCAGTGCCTGAAAATTCCATGAACTTTTTATAAGAAGGAAAAAGGTTTTTCAGAAATCGTCTCATCAGATTTTCTCTGTCATCATTGGCAAAAGCTGGAGCACATGTCCAGCCCCAGCTGAAATGAAGGCTATGAATATAGAGAATGCGAACACGATATACATGATATACTTCCCTGGCCTCTGTGTGCTGCCAGTCACAAAACCTATGTCACCAAATCATGATCAAGTCTCTTCGTTAACAAAGAGAAAGTGCAAAACTGATGTTGGTCCTAATAGAGTTATTCACCAGTCACACAAAAATATACATACACATATAATGGGTGGTGCTTGCTCTTAAAGGGCATAAGTAATACGCTTGCTCTGTGAATGTCGTAGGCGGCCACTACATTTAATATGGAAATAACTGCACTTCATATGGAATTAAGAAAATAACTACACTTAATATGGAATGGAGAATTTCTATCTAATACGTGGAATGTATTTTCAACATGTTTGCACATCTTTAATAAAGTTTGCTATGCTTTGCTTCTTCCAAAAACTGTTTTTGCAAGTTTGAAAACACATACAGTAAAGAAGGTAACCTAAAAATGAACAATATAAAATCACAATAAAAACTAGGATTAGAGAAATAGAGGTGATCTGATGAGATAATTATGTACAGAGAGTTCTACATTTTATGTGACTTAACAAGAAATAGGGTTAGTAAAGGATTTCTTATCATTTGACTTTAAAAGTAAACTGTTGTATTTTGAGAAATAAAGTCATCATCATTGCCAATAAGAAGGAATTATATGAACTGTTCAGTCTTTTTAGAATAAATATTAGTATCAGAAAGATAAAAGATAAATTATGTCCTTAAAAAGAATAGCTTCCGATAGGCTAAGTTTTTAGGTGTAATGAATTTCCCATTATTTTCTTCAGGCTTCATTACCTATAATTGATTATTTTACAATTTTTTTAATGCTTTTAAGGCTTTAGTATGGCTATGTCTTTAATTGTAATCTTCCCAAGATTTCTTTAGTATATTTTTACTCGAGATAGGGACTATATCTGCCTGGTTTCCCATCATATTACTTTTCTTTTTTTTTTTTTTTGAGACGGAGTCTCGCTCTGTCGCCCAGGCTGGAGTGCAGTGGCTGGATCTCAGCTCACTGCAAGCTCCGCCTCCCGGGTTTACACCATTCTCCTGCCTCAGCCTCCCGAGTAGCTGGGACTACAGGCACCCGCCCCCTCGCCCGGCTAGTTTTTTGTATTTTTTTTTTTTTGTAGAGATGGGGTTTCACCGTGTTAGCCAGGATGGTCTCGATCTCCTGACCTCGTGATCCGCCCGTCTCGGCCTCCCAAAGTGCTGGGATTACAGGCTTGAGCCACCGCGCCCGGCCCCATATTTCTATTATACATGGAAGTCAATCAGTAAATGTTTATTAAATTAGTCTATGGGATAAAAATAAGAATAAGAACTATTGCTCTTTTTTCTCAACATCAATTATAAAATACATGTTAATTAATATTAATACTGATTTTTAAAAATACACAAATATTCTACGTATGAAAATTTTTGCTATTAACCCTCTCTAAAAGTTGCAGTCAGGACATGCCATCTTAAATGGTTTGTGTTTCCTTTTCCTCTGATATTCCAAAGTACCCAGAATGGTGTCTCCCACATCCTGCATCATTCAGTGTATAATTGATGTTCTCATGAACAAAGAGATTCCTAAGGACAGTTGAAGCAATATTACTTTGGTACCTTATTTCTGGTTATCTGAATGTCGGGATAGAATTTATTGAACCTAGATAAATAAAAGATTTACATGCCTATTAAGCTATCTTTCTTAAATATTAGATGTTCCAAGCAGTCTTTGAGAAATGCTGCGTCTCGGCTTATTCATAGTTCTATTCTGAAATTAGTGACTGAGTGCTGGATTATTGATTAACAAGAGATTTATATGTTTTAGAAACAAGCTGAACAAGAAGTTGCATTGGACATTTTACTGTCAAAGTTGAAAGGCTGACTTTTTTTCTTGACCAGACAGAGGGCAGTCACCCTTTTTCACAGAGGTAGCCTCCAAGGATATTTGCAACCAGTCCACAGGTTTCTCCACAACAGAGTTTTGAATCTGTTAAAAGTGTTTGAAGAGTAAACAAATTGAAAGTCCAGATTTCTGTATAGCACTTTAT